CATTGGAATAGAGCTCATGAATGAAATATGAAAAGTTACCATTAATCGGTTTAAATTTTTGTACAACTGCCAACCAAAAGTCTTATCATAAATTAGGTTGAACAAAGATTGCATTATTATAATAATTGACAAGATTTTTATTTAAACAAATAGCTGTACCCTGCTACGCTTCGCTGTGGCACATTTGGTTTCATAAAAAATGAGGAACCAAACCACCGCGAAAAATAGATAAAAGGAATCGTTTTATATTGTATCAAAATTGGGGCTCAATCTGTCAAGAAGTTTTCGAGTTTATGAAGCGTACACTAACCAAGTTAACATTTATATATACCTATATATATATATATATATACCTATAGATATTCTTACATTTCTACTTAAGAAATAACAGCAATTCAAAAAGCCCAAGTAGCTGTTAGACGGCTCTGGTTACCCTCTATTACATAAATATGTGTATGTAATTAAAATATAGTTGGCATATTGTGGGCGATCCATACGCAGAGGTCTACCCTCTTCAGGGATCCAGACGATAGTGTATGTATAATGTATATGTATGAAAAAAACATCATGACATTGAAATAATAGCCTAGTATTTGTTAAATACGTTGAAATATAGTTATATTGCCAAATGTTAGGATTATTTCCAAGTCCAATAATGCTCTAACATATTAATCTTTAAAGATTCTTGAGTTTTTTTTTTTGATCGAATAATGAATCGGTTATTTATTTTTAAGAACCTGTTCTTAACGGTACTATGCTGGTCTATATAGCACTGCGTCGCCTGTATCTAATGTTTATGCTTGGCCCGAATGGTGGTTGTTGATAGTATTTGTAAATAATTAAGTCTTTCATAAGTTCAGATCATAATGCACTGTAAGAAAATGATAACACCGATTATGAATATTTTGTATTAATTACTCGTGAAATGCAAAGCGTACTGTGACGTCACCGTGAACTCCAGAATAGCCTTTTCTCTCATAAATATTCATAATACCGATAATAGATCATCTGAGGATAAAACCATTTTTCTAACTTTAGTTTTGAAAGGATTACCTTTGACGTAATATATAATAATGTTTGTGGGCTTACAAAATTGGTTTTCTTTTTTAAATTAATGTTAGGATTTGTTGTGAATGCTTTATTCATGGAATCATACCATTTGATGCATGACTTCACGCGATGAATAAGCTTACTTAGCAACGAAATCTAAAAAAAAAATATCTATGCATGTAGGCTGCGGTTTATATATGTTTATTTATAATTATAGACTACTGGGAAAGTAGATTTTAATGATTAAATAAAATTCGGTTCCCGCCGCTAGCTTCCATAAAGTAAATATGGGCCGGGAGTGATACCACGGCCTCACAGATAAAACAGTTTTAATCAACTCCTTCGTAACCTTTCACTCGTGAGTGAATACCCAAAATAATTAAAACCGTATTTCCTACTGTTTCTAACTAAAACTGTCTAAGTTATAATTAACAAAACTGTCTGTATACAAGCCCTCACGAACTGTCAATATTTATTCTAGGCTTTAAAGATAAACAAAAACTGAATTGAGCTTTAAGGATCGTTGTATATAAAAATAAACAATTGCTAAAACATTTAAAGGCTATAAAAAAGTCTTTTGGCTGTGATGATGATGAAAAAGCCTACAAAGAACTGATCTGTGAACAAGTCTTATCGGTGTTTAAAACTTTTTCTGTCATAATTTTCATATTTTGAATTTTATTCATAAATCATCATCATCAACAGCCTCTAACAGTCCACTGCTGGACATAGACCTCTCCTTAGAAAAGAGGTTTTGGCCTAGTATACCACGCTGGCCAGACGGGTTGATATAGGGTTTGTTTCAAGTTTTCCTTCTCTTTGCAGAGCTGTTTTCCTGCGTAGTTTGCTCCCTTAGTCGACTCTTACGACACCCACGGGATGAATAGGGGTGGTGACATTCCGTATTCTTAATCCGTCACCACACGGCTATTACGGTTATTAATGGCAGCATTTTAAGTCAAACAAGAAATCCAACCTGACTTCGCACAGCTAGTAGAGCTTATAAACCTATTACTATTAGGTTTCACGGCGCACCCTGGTATAGCTCCCAGTCGTTATATTATTGAAGCGAAAAATTCTTTAGGTGCGGTGGGCATTTTTGCACAAACAAAAGTATGTATTTTATGAAAAAAAACCATTGAACTCGCGACGCTGTTACCGTTACCAACACCTCTGTATATAAATATATAAGTTTTCACTTCTGTCGGCACTCCCAGCATGCCACTGTTTTTTTTTCCATCTTCAACAGTCAGCGTCATATTTCAGCCAATTTACACGAAACCCTTATTAATTTCAACCTAAACCTTCTCACAAATCACCCGGGTTTTTCGTGAAACCCGTGAGAAAATTTACAGGCTCGTTTTTAACAGACAATCGCTACAGGGGGGACTTTGATTTTTAATATGTAATAATTATAAGTAGTATTTGTTTAGGAAACCACTAAGGAGAAAATAAGGAATGAAAAGTAATTTTGTGAAAGTGCTCAATATAAAGTTTAGTAATAATAATGGTATTCACTGTCCTTCAGGTGCATCGTCTGCTCGCTTGCCCCGTCCTCCATAAAAAAATAAGGTACTTTTGCCATAAGTTTGATTTCCATCTTTGTGTCAAGACCATTTATTTTAGGCACGCATTAAGATATCAAGCTCAATTTAACATCACATGTTTGCGAGTGTATCTCTGATCCCTTGAAGCTGTAAAGATTAAGTTGCTAAGTAGCACAAAATATAGAACATTTAATGTACTGAGCCATATTTTATTTCTTACTAGTCAAAACAGTGAATACAAACACGAGTTAACCTGTGGAAAATTAGTGCCATATACCTAGATCAACAAAATATGAAGCGTTATCAGATAGACGCTTATGAGAGAGCTTTTAAGTGCTCAATACAAAATGTGTATATACACATGTTATGTGTGCCTACATAAGATATGCAGGTAACTATTACAGCTGACGGGTTAATAATCTAGAACTGTGAATTTCAAAGGAGAACATACTGTCATGACGTGATAGATACTAATCTATCTCTTTGAAACTTTCGTTTTAGGAATTACCTATAATTTATTCTTATTCTAGCTCACGTATGAATTATTGTTCAGTTGATTATAATTACCTAACATGGTTATGAGTATTTAATCTGAGTCGCTTGGAATAAAAGGTTTATTTTGTGGCATAGGAGGACAAACGAACAGACGGGTCACTGCAATACTTCAAAGAAAGTGCCAACTAAAATGAACTTCCACTAGTCTTCTGATAACAGACATCGATGCAGAAGAAGTCTTCGACGCATAAAACTGCGTTTTTTTAGCTTTGAATATTTGTATTAACATGTGTCCTTTGTGTAAATATTATTCAGTTTTTATAAGAAACTGTGTAACATTAATTCAAATCTTTCAATAAAATTTGTACAAAATGAAAATTTTGTACATATTTAACGTAACTAAATTCCTTTTTCTGGACACAACGATAGGTTTAACAATTAGTGCGGCTTTTAAAAAACATTTAACTTGACATAAAAATCCTGGTGTAAGCCTTTTGAATTATTTATACCAGAGAAAAGATCTTTATTTAAAATGAAAGCTTTCGTAAATGGTATTCATGTTTATTAAATTTAAATTCACTTACATATTTATGTGAAATGATCTTGTAACTGACGAGAAGTCATAAACTGTTGAGTTATAGTAGAGAATATATCTTCATTTTATCTAACATATTATTATGGCTGAAAAATTAATGATCATATGCTTGCCTCTGTTTATTATTTATTATTTTTGGGTAGTAGTAGTGGAAAAACCGATGATGGAGGTAAAATTAAGCTTCAAGCGCAACGGCTCAACGATGGACTGTGTTAGTGATTACTGGCACAATTTCTGTTACTGTTTTATGAATGAGATTTTCTAAAGAAATAATGCTAATTTCTCATGTTTTTAAGATAGTACTCTGGCTGTAAAAGGTGACTCGATATTTTAGTCATTTCATTATCTCATCTTATCCGAAAGACGTGCACTGCTGGACTTAGGCCTCCCGCAAGGTTACAACAACTGGTCCTGTGCTGCCCGCATCCAACTGCTTCTCGCGGCCTTCACCAGATCGCCGGACCACCTTGTGGCGTTACCCCCATCGGCCATCGTTTCATCGAGAAATGTGCCCCGCCTACTGTCATTTAAGTGATTCGATTCTCTTTGGGTAACTTTGAGCCTTCTTCTGAGGCCCATTGTGAACGACCATAAGTCATTACTGGCAACACACACTGGTCAAAGGCTTTTGTCTTGAGTCACTGCGGTAATTGGGACGACTAAATGTCACGCAGCACGCACTTCCCGAACGCTGCCCAGCCTAGTTAAATTTGGGTTTGCGATTGACCTTTATTTCGAAGTTGGACCTCCTTAACTTAAAGAAAAAGATAATATTTTACAAATAACATTTGTTGGAACTCATTGGAACAAAGTAAAAAAAAAACCATTTCTTTTAACACATTATTACAACACATATCTTTACGGAATAAAAACATGTCTTGTAATTTAATTTACCCTATTCAGAACTGTTCCTTTACAACGCACTATACCCTTGTTTCTATTACACACATTTCTTATTTATCTCCTTAATATAAAATGATAGTTCGTAGCACCGAACACTTGGATACTGCCATCACCGACACTACCATTTTTACTATATTTTTTTCTTTACATTATTTGCGATTAAACGCCAGTGAGTTGTGAATAACTTGTACAGAGCACATAAAGATGAGCACATTAAATTTTTACAGTAGAGGACATCGCAGATACAAGTGCGAGTTTTATGTGTTTTGCTTAATGGAAAACGCAGTTATGGGAGTGGAAAATAGAAGCACCAGTGGTTATCGTATATTGCTGGACGTTATGGCTTAAATAAAAGGGCAGACAAATTTGTACTCAGCTCATGAAAACTTTCTGACTGAAATACCAAGCTCTCAACACTTCACGGCTCGACATGATGGCAGCTGAGGTCCAGCAGCCATGATGTCGAGCCGTGAAGTGCGAGGTGAACAACATCGGCACTCTGAACTCTTGGCTAATTCTGCTAAGTCTATCTTGCCATGGGTATTAGGTAAATGCTCTAAGAGAAAGGAAATTTGCTCCTCTAATGTCAGGCACGTTTTTCTTAATAGCTTTTGGTATTTTTTGATTCCCATTCTCTACCTGTTAAATGTACAAGTATATAGTACTTTTTAGCCTTTTAATCTTGGTGGTAGACACAAAGACTCCTTTTCCAAGAACACTCAATCAAACTAAACATTTTTAACTTTGGATACCAGTCTGCATTGTAAATACGATAAAAAAATTCCAATGATATGTGTAATGTAAATAATAATTATTTAGATGTTTAACAAGTATTACGGGAAATACTTAATGCCTTGTAAATTTTAAAAACTTTTGCTAAATTTTGTAAATAAAAACTAACACTAGTTATATTTTCCTTACATACCAACGACTACTATATTCCTTTTCATTCAATTCTCTGTGTCTTACAAGTTTGTACACAAAAATAAAATTAAATAACGCTTCTAGTTGATTTCATTTCCAATTGCAATTAACCCAATTGATGTCTAGATTAAATTCTCTGTCTGTACTAACAATGTATAAACCTATTCCACATTTATCAGATATCGGCTTTCAGAATACTCTTTGTATGACACTTTTTGTGATATCTTATCACTGAAAAGGTTTTTGGCTATGGATTAATCAAAAGCGTTCGAGTGTAGTGCATCCAACTGAAACTTTTTGTTGTAGTTACTGAGAGAATCACATAAACTTCGCTAAATTTTTCCTATCAATTATAATGTTTTCTTTTTAAATAGATTTCAGATAGACAGAGATTAAACTTTGTAGCACCTTTGTATTAAGAATCCGCACCTAAATAAGTTGGAGTTGATCAAAAAATTTAATTTTTCTTTAATTTAAACAAAAAGCCATCAACTCATCTACTAGAATGACAAAATATATTAAAAAACCCTGGTAATATAATACATAATATAAATAAATACATAATGTAATATAATATATGTACATTTTTTTTACAATATCTTCTCCACAAATCTAATAAAACGATAATTTCATGGAACATGAAATATTAATTTACCTGTTCAAAACCGTACTCCTAATGGTACGACAGGGTCTGAGTAAATAGTTGAAAACTCCAAAAAATACATTACGAGCCGACCTGGGTAATAAATAATGTAGGGTAGGGTATCTAGCATAGAATATTTCTAACCAAGCTGTCAGTTAAGAAATTGAAAAAAAAATCCTAGTAAACAGCCACATAAGAAGATAAAACACAGTGTAAGTGATTGATATTTAAACAAATAATTTTTTTTTAATCGTTTTATAAATTATTGTGAATAATCGTTATAGTGAGTTCTCAAAAATCATATGTTACTTGTAGTTATTTTGTAGTTTATTATATGGTTAAATTAAACCGAATAAATAGCGAATGCGCGAAACGGAAATAAAGCAGTTTCCTGTCACACAATTTACTGATTTTGTTAAAACTATTTGTTGCTTGATTTTTTCTCACATGACTACACCGTTTAGAAATAGAATATACCCTGTTGTTGCAGTGACTGCTTGTGTTCATACTCGTATATTTTTGGCATACATGTTTAGAAAATTACACTGAAATTTTCCTTTACAGACAAAAATGTAAGGCCTAATTTCTATCCAGCAGGACATTATTAAAGGCTCTTGATGTGATGTGATATGAACCTTACATATTTGTTCAAAAATGTATGATTATAATAATTTAAGCCAATTACAATTTGTCTGTATTGAGTATAACTAATTACAACTCAGTGATATTTGGGAACAGAGTGAACGACGACATCAATTTGATAAATTACCCTAATGACTCGACCCGTTTGTACGAGTATATTTGATTAACTAGGAATATATTAGTTAGCTAACTTTTGTAGGCCAATTTTAAATACCTTAAATCTTTCATGAGTAAATTAAAACGAATATTACACGAACAAAAACTTGACACAAACCCTGTACCAACCCCTCATGACAGCACGGTATAGTAGGCCAAAACCTCCATTGTGAGGAGAGGCCTATGTCCAGCAGTGGACTGTTAAGGGCTGTTGATGAACAGAGTTATGGGAAAGTTCTAAGGAGTTGATTCATTCCTAACAGTTGTGCCCTAACAGTTCTAATTTATTTGCGTTGATAGGCTACTTTTATTTATACTCTAAAACTGCATCGAATTTAATTATTACTGAAATAGAGAGTCGTATATTATCGTGTGTGTACAATAACTTTACAAAAACAGATGTTTCTACTACTATTGCAACATTTAATGTAGGCTGTCCCGTTCACATCCTTGATGATCCATCATCTATGATCATTGCAGAACTTAAAATATGAACATGATGATTAATGAAATAATCTGCTTTTCATACAGCCCTTAAAATGCAGAAGATTACCAGATATTGCAAAATTGACAGTTTAGTCACAAGAAATAGTTTACTTAACTAAAGTGTTACGAAATTTAATAGTTGATATTGATTAAATCGTATTATTTATAGACACATACAAAATACATTTGTGTATGTATAACAAACATTCTCAAGCTGTCGAAACATTCCGGGCCTATGATAAAGAACATAAATTATTGGATGACCCTTTTCCCTAAAGTATTCTGATTGATTCTTCACCGTTTTTAACATATTTTACTGGGTATTTTGCTACAAATACCAGATTTAAAAGGGCAAAACCTAACCCGTAGCTATCGAAGATTAATAAAAGTGATACGTGATACTTACTTGTTAATATATATTTGTTCATAAACGTTTTATTTTGGTTTTAATTCGATAAATATTATTTTTAATTCACATTTCATATGTATATATCATTTTCTTCCATTATTTAATTGCATATGTGCATGTATTGGGAGCTTGTTAGTCTAGTGGTTAGCGATCCTGACTGCTAAACCGGAGGTCGTGGGTTCGATACCAACCCAAGACAAATATGGTGTGACGAGTATCATTTCTTCTGTGTCTGGGTTTAATTTATCTATACTTATATTATAAGGAGGTAAAGTTTGTGAGTTTGTATGTTCGAGGTAATCTCCGGTACTACTGATCCGATTTTTTCACTGTTAGGAAGGTGTATTAGTCCTGAGTGCCATACCCCAATTTTTACCGCGATAACCGACATTTACGCGGGCGGAGCCGCGGGTAAGGGCTGGACTATAATATGTATGTACTTAGAAATTTGTGAGTAATTTTCTTTAGAAATATATATCCGGTCGACAGTAATAGGTTTGCCTCCTATTGGACTGGTATTATGGTCAGCAAAACGTGGGTGTTGAGATACCTCGGTCAATTTTGAAATTCGGTATTTATAAATTCGTATTTTTGACTGACGGAATAAAGTTTACGTTTACGAATTTAGTTTTAGTTACTTATGTAGTTTACCCCTTTACAAATCCTTATTTTTCTAGTTTAATCCCTCTGGGTGTCATCCTTATAGCTAAGGTAGTAAAGTGATTACATCTCAGATTCAAACCGACTAACTCAAGGGCAATGCTGGGAGCAACTAAATTTTTTTGATTATTTTTGTTCCTATGGACTCACGTCTCCCAGGGGGTAGGTAGGAACTTATTACAAAACCAATTCGTTCTTATTACATCTTTTAGCCTTGTTTACAGTGGCCATGCTACTATTTTTTTACACTCATACCGAATAACAAAATTAATAATAGTAAGCATTCTCGCCAATTTCTAGTTTAAAATATGTTATTTTAGGTATGTTGTAGTGCTCCGCAGCTGCAGCCGAATCTTTGTTAACACTTAAAAGTTTTTAGTAATTTCAAAAATTACTTAATTCAGCTAATATTACGTTTTCTATTTGTAAGTAGTGTGTTGCAAGTGTCTGTGAGGTAACGTTGCGTATAGGTGTATAATTCTTCCCGGTCTATTTATTACCAACCAGTGATTGATTTGCTATTATAACGTTCCGTTCAGGTTTATTTCCTCCTATAGCTTCTTGGAATTTTTATTAAACCTCATAATATTAATACAAAATTAAGGTCTTCCTTAATTCTTCCACGTAGAAACTTTAAGAACTCTAAATCCCAGATTCCTTTCTATGCAAAATATGTTTAAAATGAGAACTATCGACCTATTACGTAATAAATAGATTTCAGAACAAATCAAAACGATCATAAACATCCTCAGTGTTTATAAAAAGCTTTGCTAATGGTATTTTTATAAGTACTAAGTACCTAATCCCTTTAGCCATTCAAATTTAATCTCAAAATCATACAACGCATATTTCAGAATCGAATAACAACATGGAGAGACATAAACTATGTCTATCTGTTTTTAAATGTTTGTGTGATAAATAAAATTGTGGCAGCTGAGCCATTAACCGAGCCATCTCATTGGCAAGTGAGATGGTGCGGGCTTGCAATCTAAGATACTTACCTAAATATACAAGTTAACGAACCTGATTGAAAAGCATTTATATATTATACTCTATTTGAGAAGTTGTAGTATTTGTTAATGATGACGTAACTATTATTTCCAATAATTCATTAATGGTTTGTATATGGTTAAAATATTTAGTTTGAATATGGTTAGAAATAGGTAAGCATCAGCTATAGCTACTGATTCAAAAGGGCATTGTAATAATTTACAAACTAAATCAACCATGTGTTTTTATTGATGATGACGTGTAATGTCGACGTGAAATTAATATTGAAAATAGAACAGGATTGGGTAAATTAAGATGCAATCTACTGGTTCATAAACGTTTTATTTTGGTTTTTATTAGACAAATATATTACTATTTAATATATCATTATTAGTATTACAAACATGTGTTTAAGACCCAGGTCATTCTCTACCATTATTTAATTGAATATGTGCATGTATTAAAAGGCTTCTTAGTCTAGTGGTTAGCGATCATGACTGGAGGTTCGATACCCACCCAGAACAAATATTGTCTGATGAGCATTATTTATTGTACACAATTAAAAAGCATAGTTTTTCAGAATTTACCCTAAAATCTCATTCAATATCGTCATCATAATCTGACCTTCTTGACTTATTTACCTGATTTTAATGACATGGGTGCGAGGGGCGCACTAGCTAAATCCCTCTATAACCTGCTTAAAGACCATGAATTGCCAATTG